CTTTCTATGAAGCCAGCATTATTCCAATTCCAAAACAAGATAAAAACACTAAAAAGAAAGAAAATTATAGGCCCATATCCCTGATGAACATAGATGCTAAAAGCCTCAAAAAAATATATATTAGAAAACCAGGTCCAGCAATATATTAAAAAGATCATACAGCATGATCAAGTGGGATTTATTCTGTGGATACAAGTTGGTACAATATGGGCAAATCAATAAACATGTTACGCCACACAAGCCAAATGAAGGGTAAAAACCACATGATCACATCAAGAGATGCAGAAAAAGCACTTGATAAAATCCAGCGTCCATTTAAGATAAAAACTTTCAGCAAAGTGGAGATAGAGGGATCATATCTCAACATAATAAAGGCTACATATGACAAATCCACAACCAACATCATACTCAATGGGCAAAAACTAAAAGTGTTTCTCTTAAGATCAGGAACAAGGCCCACTGGGTGTGCCTCAGCAGTTGAACATCAACCTAGGATCCAGGGGATCGTGGTTCGATTCCCGGTCAAGGCACATGCCCGGATTGCAGGCTCGATCCCCAGTTGGGTGCATGAAAGAGGCAGCAGACGGCTGATCAATGACAACTCTCTCATCATTGATGATTCTGTCTCTCTCTCTCTCTCTCCCTTCCTCTCTCTGAAATCAATAAAGATATATTTTTTTAAAAAATGATTAGGAACAAGATAGGGATATATGCTTTCACTCTCTTATTCAACATAGTACTAGAAGTGCTAGCCACAGCAATCAGACAAGAAGAAGAAATAGAAGAAAACAAAATTGGAAAAAGAGAAGTAAAATTGTCATTTTTCACAGATGACATGATATTGTACATAGAAAATCCTAAAAACTCCACTAAAAACTTCTACATCTAATAAATTAATTTGGCACAGTAGCAGGATGCAAAATTAATATTCAGAAATTGGTGGCATTTTTATACACCAACAATGAACTATCAGAAAAAGAAATTAAGAGAACAATCCCATTTGCTATTAAAATTTTTTTTTTTAAAAAAAAAAGGTACCTGGGAATAAATTTAACCAAGAAGGGAAAAGACCTGTACTTGGAAAATTATAGGATATTGAAAAAATAAATTGAGGAAGATACAAATATGTGGAAGCACATACCATGTTCATGATTGGAAGAATTAACATCATTAAGATGTTCATACTACCCAAAGCAACCTATAGATTCAATGCAATTCTTACCAAAATGCCAATGGCATATTTCACAGATATAGAAAAAATATTCCAGCCCAGCCGAGCGTGGCTCAGGGGTTGAGCATCGACCTAGGATCCAGGCGATCGGGGTTCGATTCCCTGTCAGGGCACATGCCCGGGTTGTGGGCTCAATCAGTGACTCTCATCATTGATGTTTCTATCTCTCTCTCCCTCTCCTTTCCTCTCTCTGAAATCAATAAAGATATATTTGAGAAGAAAAAAAAGAAAAGAAAAAATATTCCAAAAATTTATATGGAACCAAAAAAAAGACCCCCAAGTAGCCTCAGCAATCTTGAGAAAGAAGAATAAAGTTGGAGGGATCACACTACTTGATATCAAACTATACTACAAAGCCATTGTAATCAAAACAACCTTATACTGGCGTGAGAACAGACATATAGATCAATGGAACAGAACAGAGAGCACAGAAATAAACCCATTCTTATATGGTCAATTAATATTTGACAAAGGAGGCAAGCGTGTAACGGAGTAAAGACAGTCACTTCAATAAATGGTGTTGGGTAAATTGGAGAGGTACATGCAAAAAAATGAAACTAGACAACCAACTTACACCATACACAAGATAAACTTAAAATGGATTAAAGACTTAAATGTAAGTTATGAAACCATAAAAATCCTAAAAGAAAATGTAGACAGTAAAATCTCAGACATCTCTTGTAGCAATATTTTTGCTGATATATCTCCTAGGGCAAGGGAAACAAAGGAAAAAATAAATAAATGGGACTACATCAAACTAAAAAGCTTTTGCACAGTAAGAAACCATCAACAAAATGAAAAGGGACCCCACTGAATGGGAGAACATATTTGCCAATAAAACATCTGATAATGGGTTAATTTCCAAAATATATAAAGAACTTATACACTCAACATGAGGAAGACAAACAACCCAATTTAAAAAATGGGCAAAGGACCTGAATAGACACTTCTCCAAAGAGGACATACAGATGGCCAATGGATATATGAAAAAATATTCAACATCATTAGTCACCAGAGAAATGCACATTAAAACCATTATGAAATATCACCTCACACCTGCCAGAATGGCACCACCAGTAAATCAACAAACAACAAGTGATGGCTAGAATGTGGAGAAAGAGGAGCCCTGGTGCACTGCTGGTGGGAATGCAGACTGGTGCAGCCACTGTGGAAAACAGTATGGAGTTCCCTCAAAAAGTTAAAAATGGAGCTGCCTTTTGACCCAGTGATCCCACCTTTGGGAATATAACCTAAGAATCCCTAAACACTGATTCGAAAGAATATATGCACCCCTGTGTTCATAGCAGCATTATTTACAATAGCCAAGACCTGGAAACAGCTCAAGTGCCCATCATAGATGTGTGGATGAAAAAGCTGTGGTACATTTTACATAATGGAATATTACTTGGCCATAAAAATAAAAATTAAAAAAAGGAAATCTTATCTTTTGAGAGAGCATGGATGGACCTGGAGATTATAATGCTAAATGAAAGAAGCCAGTCATAGAGAGACAAATACCATGTGATCTCATTTATATGTGGAATCTAATGAACAAAATGAACTAACAAAATAAAAACAGAAGCATGAATGCATGGAACAAAATGACAGATCTCAGAGGGCTGGGGTTGGGGGAGTGAGAGGGAGCTGGATGAAAGAAGGTGAAGGGATTAACTAAAAAACATATATACATTACACATAGAGATAACAGTGTGGTGATAGCCAGAGGGAAAGGGGGTGGGTGGCAATTGAATGTGAGCAAAGGGTGGGGGAAATGGGGACCGGAAGAGACTTTGCTTGGGGTGATGGGTGCATGATGCAGTGTGTAGATGATGTTGTATTTAGTTGCACACTTGAAACCTGTATGGTTTTGCAAACCAATGTCACATAAATTCAATAAAGAAAGCAGTACATCTACTTTGTAAGACAGTTTGACGGTTTCTTACAAAACTGAACATGCTCTTACCATATATGATCCAGCAATCATGCTCTTTAATATTTATCCAACTGAGTTGAAAACTTATGTCTACACAGAGCAGCTTTATTTATAGTTGCAAAAACTTGGAAACAACCAAGATGTCCTTCAGTAGGTGAATGGATAAATAGTGTACATCCAGACAACAGAATATTATTGAGCTCTAAGAATAGATGAACTACCAAGCCCATGAAAAGACATGGAGAAAACTTTAAATGTATATCACTAAGTGAAAGAAACCATTCTAAAAAGGATACATCTTGTATTATTCCAACAATATGACATCTGTAAGAAACAAAGCTATGGAAACAGTGAGAAGACAGGGGCTAGAGAAGAGGGGGGAATGAATTGGTGGAGCACAAAGGACTTTTAGGATTGAGAAATTGCTCTGTATGATATTATAACGGTGGGTATAGGTCATTATACATCTGTCAAGACCCACAAAATATACAACACCAAGAGTGAACCTTAATGTAGACTACGGATTTGGGTGCTAATGAGGTGTCGGTGTAGGTTCATCAGCTGTAACAAACGTACAGCTCTGGTTCAGGATGTTGACGGCAGGGAGGCTGTGTGTTCGAGGAATAGGGCGTATGTGGGAATTCTGTCCTTTCCACTCAATTTTGCAGTGAATTGCTCTAAAACAATTAAATCTATTAAAGTAAATTCAAATAATATCAAGTTAACCATTTTTAAGTGTACAATTCAGTGGCATTGACAGTATTGCACAACCACGACCTTCCTATGGTTCTAAGACATTTTCACCGCCACTGAAAGGAAATCCCCAAGCAGGTGCCCCTCATTCCTTCTCCCTTCAGTCCCTGACAACCATAGTCTGATTTCTGTCTCTAAAGACTTACCTAAAGTGACATTTCATATAAATGGAATCATATACTACATGGTCTTTTAAAACTGGCTTTGTTACTTAAGAAGATTTTAAGATTCATCCCTGTTGTAGCATGAATCAGTACTTCATTCCTTTTTAAGATGAATAACATTCCATTGGACATACATACATTTTGCTTATCCATTCATTAATTGACCAACACTTGGGTATTTCCACCTTTAGGCTGTTGTAACTAGTGGTACTATGAACACACGTGTATAAGTCTTTATTTGAATACCTGTAATGGACTATTTTCTTAATGCAACACTTCCTTGCCCTTAGATGAGGGAAAACAAAGAAGATATGTTAAAGAAGGGGCTAGAAATAAAATTAACATTTAAATATCAAATTACTAATATTTAAAGCTTTGTTTAGTGATAATAATTAATATTTAAATTAATAATATTTAAGAAACACCTGATTTAACATGCTTTATCTCATGCATCATTATAATTCTAAAGTAGACAACCACTTTATAGAGCAGGAAACTGTGAGGCTCAGATGGTTAAATAATTTGTTCATGGTTGCACAGCTAGTGACCCCAGGTTTTTCTGACCCCCACACTGCCTTTCTGACTACCTCACTCATCAAACTAGCATTGGAAGTGAGAGAATGGATGAAAGGTACACTGCCTTGACAAGTAATTCTTACCAAACTTTTACCTTGGTGAAGTTATCATGCAGAAGTTAATGATACAAAAACCTTGGTTATGTATACAAGCCCAGAGAAAGAAAGAGTGATGATGATCTGGCTTTTTGGGTGTGAGTGGACTGATCACCAGCTGATTATCTGAATGAATGTAGCTGGTCCAGCCCCCTACAACCCCACCCTGGTCCAGAGGACAAACTTACCCTGACACAGTGGGACTGGACACGGCCCATGTCAGGAGTGGACTAAGGTGGGCTACATACCTGGGGTTGGCTGCACAGTGCCTAGGTCTTCTGTCCTCTCTTTGGAGAGTTCCTGCAGGCACTGGTCCCGCTCCTCCCGCAGCACCCGGAGCACGTCACACAGTCGAGGGAGGGCTCCAATCTGCAAATCCAAAACCAAGAATGTTCATCACTGCAACTAAGTTGATTCTGCCACATAAGGATTTACTGTGAACAAAAATGGGGCTAAACAATGAGATTACGAATTCAGGGAGGCAAAGCCCCTGCCCACAAGAAGCTCCGAGTCCACAGTGAAGTACAGGCAGCCACTTCTAGGAAGGACTTCAGAACAACAATCTGCAGCTTGTTCACTGCAAATCTTGCCCTTAAGTTTATAAAGGCCCCCAAGTCCAATAAGCTACCTGCTTTTGGGGCACCTCATTATTAGTCTGTAGGACTTCATGTATTCCACTCCAACTGTATTTATTCGTCGGGTTTCCAAAGCTTAGCTTGGTTCAGACAAGGTCTTTGAAACCTTTATGTGCCTGACTCAGACCAATAGCGACTGCAGGGATGAGCTGAACAGGGAGGCTGAGGAAAAACTGGCACACAGTCCTGGCTTCCTAGCTCTTCCTAGGTTTCCAAAGCATGACTTCATTCCTTCATTTGTACTTGAGACTTAAAAAATATGTGAGTGAATAAATGAATGAATGAATGAATGAATAAAACTCCTACTTTACTTTTTACAGAGTATACAATTACAATATTACAGATTCCTTTCACATACATTGACTTATTCAGTTCTCAAAATAACCCTATAAAACTCTCAGCAAAGTGGAAATACCTCAAAGTAATAAAGGCCATATATGACATCATACTTAAAGGTGACAAGCTAAAAGTGTTTCCCTTAAGATCAGGAACAAGATAAGGATATCTACTTTCACCACTTTTATTCAACATAGTATTAAAAGTCCTAGCCACAGCAACCAGACAAGAAAAAGAAATAAAAGGCATCTAAATTGGAAAGAAAGAAGTAAAACTGTCATTATGCGCAGATGACATGATACTATATGAAGAAAACCCTAATGATTCCACCAAAAACCTATTAAAACTGATAATGAATTCAGTAAAGCAGAATACAAAATTAATATTCAGAAATTGGTTGCATTTTTATACACCAATAGCAAACTATCAGAAAGAGAACTTTAAAAAACAATCCCATTTACAATTATATCAAAAAATAAAATACCTAGGAATAAATGTAACCAAGGAGGAAAAAGACAGAAAATGATAAGACACTGAGGAAAGAAATTGAAGAAAATATATATAAATGAAAGCATATACCATCCTCATGGATAGGAAAAATTAACACTGGTAAAATGTCTATACCACCCAAAGCAATCTATAGATTCAAATGCAATTCTTATTAAAATACCAATGGCATGTTTCACAGAACTCAAGCAAATAATCCTGAAATTTATATGGAACCACAAAAGACCACAAATAGCAACAGCAATCTTGAGAAAGAAGAACAAAATTGGAGGTACCATGCTACCTGATATCAAACTAACAAGGCTACAGTAATCAAAACAGTATGATACTGGCATAAAAACAGACATATAGGTCAATGGAACAGAATAGAGAGCCCAGAAATAAATGCACTTCTATGTGGTCAATCAATATTTGACAAAGGAGGCAAGAACATACAATGGGGTAAAGAAGGTCTATTCAATAAATGGTTTGGGGGAAATTGGACAGATATGTGCAAAAAAATGAAACTGGACCACCTTCTTACACCATATACAAGAATAAACTCAAAATGGATTAAAGACTTAAATGTAATACTCAAAACAATAAAACTCCTAGAAGAAAATATAGGCAGTAAAATCTCAGACATTTCTCTTAGTAATATTTTTTTTATATATCTTTTTGGACAAAGGAAACAAAAGAAAAAATAAACAAATAGGACTACATCAAACTAAAAAGTTTTGAACAGCAAAAGACACTATCAACAAAATAAAAAGACAAACAAAAGAAAAGACAACCACTGAATGGGAGAACATATTCTCCAACGATACATCTGATAAGGGGTTAATACCCCAAATTTATAAAGAACTTATATATGTTAACATCAAAACCCCCCAAACAATCTAATTAAAAAATGGACAGAGGATAACCCATGGACACAGAGAATAGTGTGGTGAAGGCCTGGGGGGGAAGGTGGATATGGGG